GGAGGAGGGCCCGGGCACAGCTGCAGCTGGTAGGGAAGGAGGGCCCGGGCACAGCTGCAGCTGGTAGGGAAGGAGGGCATAGGCATAGGTGCAGCTGGTAAGGAGCTCACGGGCATAGCTGCAACTCGTAGGGAAGTTTGGAGCATTCAGTCTCTTCTCTTGGTAGATTCTCAAAGCAAATGTCAGTTGGGCTTTACCACCCACTCTGCCTTCTCTTCCTGTATCTTTAATCATTTACTGTCTTATTTGACATTGGGTCTTGAACCTGTGACTCTTGCTTATCATGTTGTTGTTTGGAGCCTCTGTTGGTGGTACATTCGTTTCTACTATGAGTCTCTCAATTACATAATTAAAAATGTAAAATGTTTCTCCAGTGGTGGTCTGTTTATCCTAATATAGGTGGTTTAATAAAGGCACAATACAATCACTGTTGTCAAAGTTACGTAATATACATGGAAAAGATAAACTTAACAAATTAGGTACATATGAATCAGACACAGATTATTTACTTTGTTGCATTCAGAAATTTTTTACCCCAGAGAATAGTAGGGCTGATTCTGTTTCAGATAGCAAAATATTTATAGACTTATCTACCAGATGCCAGACTCTGTGGCTCTAAGGAGAAGTACATGTGGTCTCTTAACCGTTGTGTCTAGAGAATCAGAGTTCATTCTGAACTACTCTAATAAGACCATTGATACCAGTCAGGTGTGTTTATAATTATTCAAATGAATTTGAAAAGCCAGCTTAACTATTAATAAACCCCATAATGAGAAGACAGTGACCCGGAATGTAAATTAAGGCATCTTCTTGGTCGGCATTTCATTTATTTTTGCCAGCCCCCCCATGTATTGCACACACACCTTTTGGAGTGCCTTCCATCCAGCATATGTACCCAGTTTCTGCAACACATGGGAACATGATTTTTACAAACTATTGCCTTTGTCAGAGGAGGAATACAAGGGAAGGGATTGGTCTCTTTGCATGTTTTTCCTTATGCTTTAAGATTCAGCTTTTCACAGCACACCACCATCTTTTCATTAGAGGTTATGCTTCTTACGGAGAGACGTGGTTAAAATAATCCTGATGCCTGTTACACTCCCATTTATCCAGTTTCCTTTTGCATCGTAGAAATAAACTTAACACCAAATGTGCTTTTCTTTGTCTTGTGCTCCCTCCAGGATGAAGACGGGACAGAGGAAGATAACAGCCGTGTCGAGCCAGTGGGACACGCTGACACTGGCTTGGAGAATGTACCCAACTTTTCTCTGGAGTAAGTTACGGATGGTTTTAACTATACTTGTAATGTACCTGTAGCATCGTTAATTGCAGCCAGTATTCCAAAAGCGTATGCATGTGGAATGTGTGTGCTCAGCTGAAAACATGCCTGGCATTGATTTGTTTCCCCACAGAGCATCTTTGATCTGTTCATTATGGAAGCAGGAGAGCATGGGCGTGCACCTGTTTCTGTCCCGAGCATCATGCATTGGCAAATGCTATTAAATTGTAACGTAAAATAGTATTTGGAAATTTTTGTCTTGTTAGCAGCACTGTAAATACTGTAACTGCTTTCAGATCGCTTCGTATGTCAGTATTTTCATCATTTGTTCTTCAGCTTTGCTAAGTTAAAAAATATTACTGGGTCTATTTAGTTTACTTGAAACATGAGTTAAATCTTGTAAGCATTAGTCAATATAGTGTGTGTGTATATGTGTGTGTGTGTGTGTGTATGATTTGCTTGAAGAATTAGAATCTCCCAAGTTATTTGATGGAAAGTTAGAGGGTCATGGGTTAAAGACCTTGAAAATGATTGTAAGTATACAAGGACAAAGGGAAATTTCCCCATATTTTCACAACCTTCCAATTATCTTAAATAATGGCATGTGTAAATGGAAGTGCTTTTGCCAGTCGTAGCTGAGAGTAGGGAGGGTTTTTTTTCTTTGACTTTGGGCAAAAGTTTGAGGGCATAGATGTTACCATGCATTTACTAAATTCTGTCTTCTCTTGGTCTCCCAAGGAAAGGCTCTATGAATTATCTCAGTGAGATTAAACAGGCTCTGAGATCAGATTATGCTCGGATATACAGCAAGCAGAATTCTGAGTGTTTACACTGCCTGCCCTAGTTCTTTGTAAAATGACTGTGGGATAAAATAAATTTAATAAATTACACTATTCTTAGTTGACAAATTGATTTAAATAAAGGTTGAAATGCTTTTAGTAATATCTAATATACGATTTTATGAAAGTCTATGAAAAAAAATTTTAAAAATCCATTTAGTGCTACTTCCGTAAACAGTACGGCAAGAGTTTTATTTTTCCCTAATTAATGTATGTGATTTAGTCTATGTACATGTCCTCATTATTGTTTAATTTGTTTGATTTCCCTATCTCTAATTATATTTAGTACCTGTATTAGAAGTAGACCATTCATAGTACATGGGATAACCTCAGGTTACTGAGTAAGACGACAGTTAAGGAACAGGCATTTTCCATCATATTAATATTGAATGGTTTCCTAGGTTGCTTAAACTTAGAGGTTTTCATTGAAGTTCTATTTTCAGATATTGATAGTTAGATAAATACCACTTAGGCCTCTGGTCTAATATATGTGCCATATGTGGAATCATCTACAAAGAAAGTCAACTCTCATTTAAATGGCTTAAAAAATTTGCATTCTCCAAATTATACCAATTTCCATTAAACTCAGGATTATTGGAGTAGTAAGTGAAGATTCATGGAAGTGATTGACAAATACATGGGCAGCTTGAGGTTGTGGTCCTCAACACAAAGTACTTTAGTTAGAAGGAACTTCATGCTACCTCATGTAATAGAAACAATATCATATTGTAACTGTAGTCCAGTTACTCAGGAGATTGAAGCAGGAGGAGCCCTGGAGCCCAGGGGCTTGAGGCCAACCTGGGCAATGATAAGCAAGACCTTATCATTTTTTTTTAAAAGTTAATTACAGGCACTTTGATGAAAATTACTTGATTTGTGGTACATGCCTATTGGCTTTGTGAAAGGAGTTTTACAAGCTGTGCTCAGATAGTGAGGTCAACTGGGTTCTCCTCCGGACCCTCCCCGCAGGGGGGAAAACTTGGACCTCATTGGAGTACCAAGAGGATTAATGGTAAAACAGACAGGTAAGAGCACTTTGTAAACTGTAAAGTGCTCTGCAATTGCAAAACCCGTGTTCAGTTAATCACCAGAAGCCTTAAGATAGTTATTGGGATGGAAAAAATTTCACTGAATCTCTAGAGCAGTGTCTTCCAACCTTTCTTAACCTCACAGCGGACTTGAACCTATAGTTAAATTTCTGCAGTGCACTTCAATTATGTTGATCAAAAAAAAAAAAGTATAGTTAACTAGGCTTTGAACTTCTTTTGAAGATAATTTAATGAATGATCTTTACCCACGTTTGTGGCACATCTAAGATCCTGTCACAGCACACTGGTTGAAAGTCACTGCTCTAGAGCTTTGGACTCACAAAACGTGAACTTGTGCTACTCAAAAGAGAGTGAGCCAAGAGAAGTGGTTCTGGGTGGTTTTAACGTGGTTACCTCTGATGATTGCTCTCTCTTCATGCCATCAGACTAGAGTACAGGTACGTAGTGCTTACCGTTGCCCCCATCACCATGCTTCTCTCCCCGAATACGTATGTGTGTGCACGTGTGCCTGGTGAGATTTTTGTTCTGTTCTCCTCTGTTAGTTGGCTGTATGTCCGTGTCGCGGTTCTGTTGTTCTGTTTTGTTTCGGTTTTGGTTTGTTTACAGTACATGTTCATGCTCCCTCATTCATCATTGTCTCACAGTGATATGGTAAAGCTCGTACAAGTCCCCAACGATGGAGGGCCTCTGGGAATCCATGTGGTCCCTTTCAGTGCTCGAGGAGGCAGGTAACGTATCCTGGAGGTTTTTAATTTGAATCCTAACGTAGAGTGTTTTATCTTCATTTATACTCAGCTAGAGAAGGATGTTGACTTAGCATGTGCTTCTTAGAAAATATTTTCATTCATACGTAGATCATAATCACAGAAAAGCTTGCCTCAGTGAAGAGGGAGTTTCCCAAGGGCATGAAGAAACCGTACATTATGCCCTTACTGTTCTTCATCTCTGAGCAAACATCTTACTTTACAGTAAATTGATGATAGGCTTTATACAGTCAGGTCTCTGGCTGGCTTTATAAACTTAAGGAGAGTTTAAAGCAAATTTTCTGGAAAAATCCACGCAATAAAAATCACCCGGATTAACTTCGGTAATGATTCATTTTAATTTTGTACTTAATGTTTATTCAGTACTTCAATTTAGTGAGACTTTCATGATTTTTAAAATCCTGTGAATATGAAATTTTAGAAACATGGGTAAACTAATGATCTCTCTCTCACCACGTGGCTTGTGGCTCCTTTCTTTTAATCCCCGATCCTTCAGAACGTCAAAATTTTGTACGATTTGTTAATTCCAACTTCATCACTTTACACTTTCCTTAAACTCTTCAAATGTTATATGAGTTTATTTGATTCTGGTTTTTTTTTTTTTCTTTTTTCCCTGTGAAAGAACTTTTATTATATTTTTGGTTTTAATCTATTCAAATAGTATGAAGTGATTTTGCAAAGAGTGCTTCGCAGGCCTCTGTCCTTGATAAGTGAAGTACCTTACACCCCTCCCTGGGAGATTGAGCTTATTCAAGTTTAATCACATCTTCTCTTATTTGCCTGAGAAGATATATTTATGAAGTGTTCTAAAGGGAGGGTGATCAGGGACTGACCCCACCGAAGGCTTTTTTGTACATCTGTTTAAGTGGAACAACAGAACATGCAGAAATAAACCATCAGTGGGGGCCGGTCCCTGACACACCCTCATGTGACTGTTTAACGTTGAACTTCTGGGCTGGGTGCCATGGCTCACTCCTGTAGTCCCAGCTACTCGGGAGACTGAGGTGAGAGGATTGCTTGAGCCCAGGAGAAAAAGACCAATCTGGGCACTAGTGAGAGCTTATCTCTACAAAAAAACAAACCAAAAAACAGCCCAGTATGGTGGCATGCACCTGTAGTCCCAGCTAACTCAAGAGTCTGCGGCAGAAGGATCGCCTGAGCCCGGGAGTTGGAGGCTCCAGTGAGCTATGATTGCACCAGTACATCAGTCTAGGGAACAGAATAAGACCTTGTCTCAAAAAAGAAAGAGAAAAAAAAAGAAAAAAAAAAAACCAACCAAACAATTTTGAAATTCTTATATCTTTTGTTGTTATTAATATACTTTTTTTTTAAACCTTTACATAGGGAGAAGGTGGAAAGTAGCCTTAGACCAGCAGCTGAGACTTTAGAGCTTTAATTTAAACCATCATCAACTAATTGTAGGCATCTAATATATTGTAAAAGATACATAGTATACACGACTGAACTCTATATTTTATTTATTTGGTAACCTACTTACGACAAGGTCTTGCTCGGTCACCCAGGCTAGAGTGTAGTGGTGTGGTCATAGCCCACTGTCACCTCAAACTCCTGGGCTGGAGCGATTCTCCTGCTTTAGCCTCTCAAGTAGCTGGTATGACAGGCATGTGTCTCCACACCCACCTAAGTTTTTTTTTAAATATATGTATTTTTTGCCTTGCTATGTTGCTGAGGCTGATCTCAAACTCCTGGGCTCAAACAGTCCTCCTGCCTCAGCCTCCCAAAGTGCTGGGATTACAGGGGTGGGCTGCTAAGCCCCACCTCTATTATCTTAAAATGAGCATTTGTACCATCTCTTTGTTACATTAGCAACTATAGTGAGTCTGTTAAAACACTGGGCTTGTTCAGTGTCCTGAAGCTGAAGCTTTGATTTACTTAGAACTCTGCTGGACTGTGAGGCTTGAATGTTTGTCCTGTATTCAAGGTATGAAATCAACCTTGAATGTTTGGGTGGTGTTATACTTACAGAGTTGTAGTTACTCTCACTTTTTTCTTTGTGTTTTTTTCTTCTTCTTTTTTTAATCTTTTACTCTGGAGAAGCTCTAAAATTTCTGTAAAGAACTTTCAGTTACACAGTATTAGTTGTTTTCAAAGTGGCCCTTACCTTCATATACTTCAAAAATATAATTTAAAATTATCTCAAAAATTAAATTATTTTTTCGTTTCCTTCATGATCAGGAGAGAAAAGGGGAAAAAAATGCACGGATTATAGCTTTCTAATATACACGTGCCCGCGAAAGATAACATCACAGATGAGTAAATGAGATTTAACTGTATGTGTCAGCTTTGAACGAGTATTATAGTTACAAACAAGTGACTTTCTGTCATTTGTTACCTAGTTCCTACCTCAGCGTGAGAGAATATTGGGGAACATTAGGGTAAAACAGATGAAGACTCCAGCAAAAGGAGAATGAGATAGAAAAGTAAGCCTGCTGCCTCCATGAGTTCAGAGGGAGGTGTTTCACAAATCCACCACAGTTGCTGGTTACTGTGGCATTTAGTTTTTTTTGGGGGGGGGAGGGTTTGCAGTTGTTTTTTTTTTTTTTGGCCAGGGCCTGGTTCGAACCCACCACCTCCCGTATATGGGGCCAGCGCTCTATTCCTTTGAGCCACAGGTGCTGCCCCCTGGCGTTTAGTTTTGATAGACTAAACACATTCAAGTTACATGATCCTTGTCTTGCAGAACCAGAAGGGGTTTTATAGACAAGTCCTCTTTTAGCCCCTATTAATTTGGCACTTAATGAAGAAAATTGTGCGACTTCCCAATACAAAGGACAGAAAGATCCGAGAAACGGTTCTTTATAAACCCCTCTTCAAGGCAGTATCCATTTTCACGTGGAAGCCAGAAGAATAATTTGCTTGCATCATTAAACTCTCTTACGGACTTGATGTAAGTCCTGGGTACAAAGAAAGTGGGCTGTTCAGACTCACAGAGACCAATCATCAGGGGCCCAGAGACACCACACCCACCTTCCTTATCCCCAGAAATTCTCAGAAGTGGGTTCTGCTCATCCAGTTGGGAACCCTGGTCAGCATTGGCACCGTGACAATTCTTGAGTTAGGTTCTAGGAAACAAAAATGAACAGGGCAAGGGCGTTCCTCTAGGAGTTTGCAGTCTAGACAAAGTGCTAAGGGAGAAATCACACAGTTATAATTATGCGATAAATGTTGAGATAGTTATATAATAGGTAGTCTGCAAGCCGATAGAGAAAGTAAGACGTGAATGTGGTGACTGAAGCCGGCTTGTTGCGGGAGATGATTCTCAGGGTGATGACAGCTTACAAAGAGAATCGCGTCAGCTCCAGAATGGCTTGTGCAGGAGCAAATTAAGGCAGGCAGTATAGCAGAAAGGAAGAAATTAAGTGCAGCTTGCGATGAAATTGCACGTGTATCTGGTGGGAATACAAAAATACATATTCATGAGGTGAAAGGTGGGATTTCCAAGAATGACTTCCCTGGTACAAAATTCTGATCATCTTGGGCCACCTCAACTTTGGAGGTAGGACTAATTGAATAACGCTCCCTGAATACTCAGCTTTATGGAAGTGACAAATCCATGCTTCCCATTTAAGTCTTCAAAGGCAGAGAGTCTAAGGAACTAATGAAAATGGAAACTGTATTGTGAAGAGGAGGAATACAAACCGGACTACTTTACATATCGTACGTAATTAAGGAAAATAGTAATTTCAGGCCACGCATGGCGGTGCTTGTGCCTGTGATCTTAGCTGTTTGGGAGGTTGAGGCAGGAGGATTGCTTGAGACCAGGAATTTGAGGCCAGCCTGGGCAACCTAGTGAGACTGTGTGCAAAGACAAGTAAACAAATGAATGAATAAATTAAAAAAAATAGTCATTTTAACTTATGAAGTCAGTGGTAGAGAACATTTAACGTCCTGTAGGTACTATTATGGCCTGAAGTAGAATAAAATAAGAATCTTGTCCAACTTACCTGATTAAGGCTATTTTCCAGAGTAGGTTGAATGTTGTTGACCAGAGGCATGAAGGACATTGAGCTCACTTCCCACCCCTGCCCTGCCTTGCGTGTCCCCTTCCTCATACCTAGAAACGGAGACACATTGGTTTGGAGACAGTATTATCTTACCTTTTAGTCAACTTCTTGTGTGTTGTTCAAAAAAAAAAAAAAAGCAAAGGATTTCTATCTAGAATGATTCATTCACAGATTAGTGTCTTTGAAATCAATTTTTACTTTTATACCTATTATTCCATTTCTTCCTGATTCAAATGTCACACATAACCTCTTCATTTAAATCACAAATGCTACTGTTTTCTAGTTTAGTGAACAGTGGGGGAATTGCTAAACGTTTTCAAGAAACTTGCTATGTGTTCTTTTTAAAAATATTATTCTTGGATTTCATGTTCTAAATTGTAGTAGATGTTCTAAAATCTTTTCCCTATGAAATGATTATGCCGAGAAGCACCATGTTTTTATATATATATTTTACATTTTCAGGACCTAGTCCTAGGTATTATTTAGTGCAACTTACTCAGCAAAGGAACCAAAGAACCCATGACCATGCAGATTCACTGTTGCATTATGTATTAAACAATGAAACAGCAGTGCTATTAACCTGGCCTTGACGGTGGTTAATAAGTTTCCCAAGACTGCGTAATGATGCAGAGATATGGTTATGATACAGTGTTAAGTCTATCAAAAGCAAGATATGAAATTAACATTCCACAATAGGGGCTGCCCCTATGCAATTGCAAGATGTCATATTTGGTTTCGAGGGGCTGAAAAGGGTCGTTGAGAAATATGCGTATAAAAAGATGCATGCCATGTGGCACGGGGATTTAGAGGAAGTAGGAACATTGGATCCTTTGGCAACCCTCAGGAAAGCAATTGAACTTGACCTTTTTCTTTGAGGGAAATGTGAGGCTGACACCAGTGATGCTCTTCTGGAAAGACAGTGATTCTAGGAAGAGAAAA